ATGTCATTTAAACTGTACGACTTAGTGAGGGAGTGGCACTAACCATGCTCGTATGCATTTGGTACAGTAAGAGCCAGCTTTAACAGAAAAAAATCACATTTTCAAGTTCTGCTATGAAAGGTTAAAATGGTAGTGCTGGGTTGTGATGATGGTCCCTCTCAACCAGTATCCTGAAATGTTATGTTTCACAAACACCTATAGTACATAAAATATATTACTGATAATACTATAGCACCTTTCAGACTGGATCTCTCAGTTTTATACGTAAGTTTATCTCACAGTTTTATACATAATGCAGTAACCGAGACCCAAAGTTACTGCGAGAACTGTGTGCAGTAATTTTGTGAAGATGTGAAAGAACCGAGAAAGGACCTGGAAGCTCCTCTTTAGGTGACAGATTGACTTCATAATGTAAAGGCTTTGCTAGAACAGATTGTTTAGCTACCATTTCTGCATTTTATCTAAGATAAGATGGAAATAGAAGTCATTGAAATATCCCTGTAAATCAAAAGAACAAATGGCAACAGTAGCAAAATAGAACTTAATCTGAGATCAGAAAAGAAATACTAAAGCAGAAAATGACAGAAACTTGTTGGCAGGGTAATAAATTGGTTTATATTTTAACTTGAATAAACACCTTAATATCAAGGTATAAATGTAGGATTAATAGATATACCTCAAGTTTAATAATTAAGCATTAGCAGCTTTTCCTATTGATCTCAAGTGGCATGTAAACACCATGGTAATTGGTATACTATACATCCATAGCTAACTAGTCAGATAGCTAAGAGCTTTGGAGGGCTGCTTTACGTTGGGTTTATTACATAGCACCAAAGAGTCATGGATGAACTGAGCTAAATTTAGCTTTCAGGCTGATTTTTAGACAATAAAAAGAAAGACACTTCAGAAACACGCCATAGTCCTAGCACAGTTTTACTGCCAAAGCATTTTGCCTGCAGCAAGCAACGCTGTTCTTTAAGTGAAGCTGCATCTGTACGAAGTTCAAATGAACACAGAGCTGAAAAGTAGGGAGAGCTCTGACTTCAATCAAATGAATGACTGTTTTGGCTTCATAATATGTTTTCCAGCCCTAACTTTAATCTAAATCAAATGCCCGTCTTTCTTGCTGTTCATGCAATGCAACCGCAGCACATGCTGAAGCATAGGAAAATTGCAAGTGCCTAACTACATCAAATTGTGCTTCCATCTAGTCTGGAATCTACATCAGGCAGAGGACAATACCTTCTGTTTCAGAAGAAAGAAACTATTCTCCATCACTAATTCATTTAGAAACTGTTCCGCGGATCTAGCCAAACAGCTGCTGGGCATGGAGATCTGGACAATCAAACAGGTCTTTTCTGTTTCTAAACTCAGAAATCTTCCTCCCAAGCAGTACCGCAATGTCAGAGATTCTTTACAGTGCTATGCTAGCAGGTCTGGCATCTACCAGATACAGAAACTCTGCTGGCAAAGTATTCGGATAGCAACATACCTCGTGCTATTACCTCTGCCATAAGAATCTCGCTATAAATCAGCCCTCCAAGGCAGAGCTCCATGGCGTACAGACCCCGTCACAGCCCAGCAAAAGCCATGAAAATCTTACTTGTCTAGCTGTCAATTGAATGGACAATCCTAAACTGGGAAATCTAATTTTAAAGTGGTGTCTCTTCACGACCTCCTGGAACAGCAAATTTGCAGGTCAGTGACAAGCTGCTTAAAGAGGCCTTTCATTTCAGTGGTTCCTGCGGTACCGTTCCTGCCATTTTAATGTTACAGCCCCGCTCTGCCACTGCTGTTCTCTTTGGTGTTCTCACCCCACGAGACACACTACCGCGGAGCTCACGCGACTTGCATAAGCTGTGTGTGTGCAAAACTTTGGCGCGTGTTGTCGCCACTGCCTCAGTGTGTGTCTCTGAACATTTGAAAAGGTGGCAACAAGACAAAGAAAAAGCTGGTTAATTGACATGAAAACCAGATTCTTGTGTTTAATACACCCTGTTATATTTTGTTTGTCATTATCTCTCCAGACCAGTGACTCAGCTCTGTAAAACCTTCAGCTTGATCACAGTGTTGACACATGATACCAGCCGTTTGGCTTCCATGGACTTCTATTTATGCCTCCTCTCCTCTTCTTTGAAAAAGCCCAGCAAGATAAATGAACCTCAGACTATTAAATGCCGTAAAGACTTTCATAAAATAATGGAAACTCTGCCTTTTAGCCTTAAAAAAATGATTTAGTAAGTAAGTGCTTCAGATGAATTTAAAAAATGAACTGGCTTCAGCAAAGAAGTTCTGAAATGACCCAATGCCTCGTTGTTTCCATGCAGCTCTGCCTGCCTCAGATGGGCGCCCATCTCAGTTGGGTCTGAGCATCTGTCACACAAAAAGTATCGCCAACAGCAGAGTCCCTCGTGGATCTCCTGGTGTCCCTAGCCCCACACACTTGCACAGGTAGGTAAGGCCTGCAATGGGTGGTTTTTAATATTTAAATGGATGAGTGTAACATGCCTGATGCTGTGAAGAGCACCCTGAAGCCCTAGACATTACTCTGAAGTATTTCCATTAACTGATCAGTGTATAAAAAAATAGAACAAATGCCAAGACACTGCCATGGAACCCGATTCAAAGTCTATTCACTTAAACGGGAGTCTTTCCAATGACCTCAGTTTGCTTTGGAGGATGAAAATGGTCGTTAAAAAGATAATTTCTATAGTTGTTTTAACTAACAAGAGCTGGTGGAAAGTAGCCAAGTTCCCAGCACTCATGAGCTGTTATATGGATTAGGCCTTCTTACTCATGATTAAGTTATACCTTACCACTCAAATAGTCCCCATGGCATCGAAAAGAGCAAGATACTACTTAAATGAAGAAAGGTATCTGTAAGAAAATGCAGCTATCTAAATATAGGGGAAAAAACCCCAAACGGGAGGAAAAACAGTAATTTGTTTTGCAAACAGACCAAGTTATTTAAAAGAATGAACAAGTTCCTGTTAAGAACTGCATAGTTTTTATCAGAACGCAAAATGTCTCAGCTTAACTTAGTGAAAATACAAACATTTTGACTCCCTGATTCATTTTTTTTCTTTTGGGTTAGGTGATACAATTCTCGTCTGCAACTTGACAGGATGTAGAAAATAATTACAAATGAAAAGGTTATTCATAATTTTTAAATGAGTTAATTAGTAAACCCCGCCAGAGTCACTCATTACAGTAATTAATAATTGATTATACTTGAAATTAAACACAATTTTTCATCAAAATCTAATTAAATACCTGCCTTTTTGCTTGTTGATTAGAACACTGGGTCTGGTAGAGACAATCTTTGCTAAATATGTTTATGCTGAACTGAACTATCAAATTTGATTTTTAATAATTGATAGTTCCTTTAGAAATTAGTAATTATGACCCATAATTACAGCAGTTCAACCTGATCAGCATTTCTGGCACCTTGCCAGCCATCCGTGGAGCCTGGCAAATGCCACAGGATTCATCTGAATGGGGAAAAAAGGACGGGAGAGCACTCAATGGACCTACCTTTTAACCACATTAACTGTGATTTTCAACGGGAGCCTGATCTTTTCAGAACTCTGAAAAAGGTTTTTGAGCTGGAGAATACCGAATGGCAAACCAAACTCTATCTATCAAACGGCACACACCTCCTCCATCAGAATTAACAGGCGCTGCTATGCTGAGTTATAACGATACTCCTCTGACATACCGAGATAATGTCCAAAGGAACCATGTTCAGGGCATAAGGAGAATACCAGACAAATGAGAAAGGCGAGTCCAAATGTACATAGAAAATGATGAAAATTGACTGCATATTTCATCAAACTGCTGCTGATTTAATGTTGGTTAATTAATCATTCCTGC